AGATGCCCACTCTTCAGGTGTGGGGCATCCCCTTGCTTGTGTACAGTTCCACAAACCCTTGCGATCAGGGCTCTCACACACACACACACACTCACACTGGCTAGCTAGATAGATTAGACAGGGTGAAGAACATGCGGCCTCGCCGTCTTCTTCATCGTAAGGGGTCCAGGCACCTCTCCGCCCTCAGTTTTGGTGATGCTCCATTGCACGCTCTGACAAACACTTCCAACGGCCTCGAAACCAGGAACTGCGGATAACTCGCCGATCAGGCTCGTCCCAGTAAACAGCCCTTCAGAGTATTGCACAGTTGCATGCGGGATCCCATGTGTCGTTGCAGGGTACCTCATGACTCTTCTCTCCAGTTCGACATCGTATCTGCCTGAGCTTGCATGTCAACCCAGTTCGCACTGCGGACAGCATCTCCTGCATGTTCCAAGAGCATGGCCGTGATCAATAGGCACCGATGCAGGCAGCCCCTGAAATAGCTTCGTGAGTGCATGCAAATGACTGTCAAAAGCTTCAGACAAGAAATAGGCTCACAGCATCGGCCCGCCTTTCCGTTCTGGCTTTGGGTCAAAATGTCTTCAAGTCGTTCAGAATCCGAAGGATGGAGCGGCACCCACCTGCAATAGGAGGTAGGAAAGCTCTCATCCTGCTGAGACTCCAGAAGCCTGCGGTCTGACGGAGAGCTGTCAAGGCCCTCCTCGAAAGTTTCGAAGACTCCAAGATACCGCATCTCAGCATGTGTGGTGCCGGGGTCCTGCGCCAGCCATAGGTATGGTGATTTCGAGCCTCACGGACGCAGGTCTGATCGACAGCCACTCTGCCGGAAGAGCAGAATATCACATTTTCCTGCCATCGCACTGTGGTTTCGCTCGATGCTACAGCTACAGCTGTGCCGCCCATGTGACAATGGCGCTGGTCTTTGACCGTCTCACAGATGTAACCACCTGCCAGCTCCGCACGACTCCCTAGTCGCCTATGATAAGCCCGAATTGGAATGAGCTGAGCTGAGCCGACTGCCAAACGCCGTCAGGAGCGAGATGCACAACACGCTCTGGCGAATCGAAGGTCTCTTTGTACACTGCCATTGCCTGAGTGTCCCATAAACCCCATGTCCAATGGGAATCTTAAAAGCATTCTGGAGCTACGAGTAGTATGCTTGTCACTGGATCAAAATGGCTCGGGCTTTGTCCACTGTTGGAAACATCCAGCTGAAGTCGTGACCTGCCAGGAAAACCACTGCCACACCATCACATCACGTTCTTAGCCCACCTGACAAGATGCCGCCGACACGAACCTTTGGCTTCCATGCTGCCACATCGTCGACAACGGCCTGCAACTTCAGTCCGGTTGCTACACCGACACCAAACCATGGAGGAAGCGTGCCTGAAAATCATGACGGGCATCGAGGAAAACCATGTCCAAGGATCCATCAGCCTGAGGGCGTATGGCAGACAACGTGATGCTCGATTCATTTTACGCTTCCGGTCTGGACAACACGTCTGAGGACGGCACAACATGCAAGGATGCATTCATGGAGGTACTGCGATAAAGAACGAACCGACCTTCAAGACAACCCCGCTAAGGGCAAGAAATTGAGCCCGAGGACCAGTGCATAGCGACTGCCGATATTGCAAAGCGCATACACGTATGAATTCACTGGTCCAGCACAACCCTGAACATGAAACTCGCTCAGGTTTACATTGCTGCTTTCAAACTCGCCTGAATCTTGGAACAGCGACAAGCGATCGATCACGTCATGGAAGAGTTCATCGTTGTTGATGTATGGATCTACGCCTTGGCATGAGAAGGCTCCGACTCTGTCTGCTGCTCTACGACGAAAGTCCAAGAGTTAGGCCAATGTAGGACAACAACGGATTGCGCTCCAACAGTCGCTGGCTGGTGTTAGCAGCCTGTTCAGGTGTGGCGACGATTGCTTTTGCGAGTCATGCCACGAAAACTCTCACACTCCAGCCTCCACGCCAACTTCTGCCATCACAACAGGTTGCTTGGAGACTCCCAGAAAATCAAGCCTAGCACCATGCGTCTCAGCATACGAAGCCTTGACTGCCGTCGACAAGCCCAGTGTTGTCTTGGATCTGAACAGGTGGGTGAGTGCGTCCCAGCGCTTTCCCGGAATTTCGTGAAAGACCTGAGCTAGAGACAGCACGAAAGCCATCCTCGCTTTTCAGACAGCCGCGGAACAACTCGAATGGAATCAACGTCGCCATAAAGCTCATGAACGAGATTTCGTCCTGCTACTCGTCCTGGGCTTCAACACACCACAACGGAAGCTTGAACATGGAGCCGATGCTGAAGATCTCAGGACCCGTCCATTGTGATCAAGTTGGGCTAGGTGAAAATTCAACAGCAGAGTAACGGAGACCTTAGAGGCTTCGCAAGAGCATGCATGACACACTTCTATCAAACAGTCTTCTGGGGCGATGGCATTCTCAATAAGAAGCTGTAGCCTGCGGGCCAAGGCTGCCGCCTTTCTTCCAGAACATGTTGAACTTGGTTGTTTGAATGTTCAATATGTCAAAGCACACATGACACCAGCTCCGATCCTGGTCATTTGCCCTTGCTTGCACACCAAAAGTGGCAAGAAATGATCTCACACTTCTGAAAACTGCTCTACTTGCTGCTGCTTTCGGGAAAGACTAAACTGTTTATGCTCTGCCGATACAGCTGTCTTCAACAACAAATTCTTGCAACGATCAGTGCGTCCACCACAGCGGGATTGCTCGGAACGCGTGTTGACGGCTCCTTGGAAGATGTATCCTGACGATCCTGACCATTGAGGCGAAAAAAACTTTTTCGGATTGTCCGTATGAGTTCCAGATGGTTTCCATGCCGTGTTCCTGTGATGGAACGGGAGCCCGGCGTTGTGAGGCTTGCGTTTCGTACACTATCGTTGTAGGTTGTGGTAGGGAACATGGGATGCCTTGCGCAAACTCGTGCACAGGCGCTATAGAAATCACGAAATTCCGCAACGACGACGTTTGCAACTGCCAGCTCGCTTGAATGTTTCAGCACTTTACCAAGAGCACAGAACAGCATAGCGGATTCCGGATTCTCGCCCCTTGAACGATGCATGTTGTAAGGCTTTGGTCTGGAAGACGAAGAAGCCAAGCCCTGCATCAGTCATTCATCCTTACATACACCTCGTACTAAGGTATCAGCACCTTGTATAAGGACAAGACGTGGTGGATCCATAACAAGTCAATGATGGATGATAGCAGGCCAAGGACACAAGCGCCAAGTGCTAATTTCATGGTGTTCCGAGAGACAAACTTTGCACGAAACGCCAGTGGCTCACGACGGCTCAAAGTCCATAAAAGAAGTGATTGATGTGTTACGGTTGGAGAGCATGCGTACCGCCGGTGGGGGGGGGCCCTGCCTTTTTCAGCTGCGTGCTCGGACTTGAGCCAAGTGTGGTGGTTGTCTTCGGTCAGCCGCTGTTTACACGCAACATGGCACGCGTCAAACGTGTTAAGCATTACTTCTAGAAGGATCTTGACAGTTTCCCCCCCAATAAGAGTTGAAAAACATGCCAAGCCATTCTCCTCGGAAGCACTGTGGCTTCGCCATGGGGTCGGCAATCATCTTCTGATGAGGGACCCACCTCACTGTGGACCTTGTTTCCTGCAAGTCCTTCATGACGACAGCCAGCTCCAAGGCGCTGCGCCGGTCTTGCTTGCCATGGATGCTCCTTCAGAAGGCAGTCGTACAATGCCTTGACGTCCGTCACTGCGCTTTTCGGTCACAAACATGTGTGGAGACCGAGAGTTTCTCCACGATCGAAGCTTTACGTCGTGCTTGGCGGCGTCCGTCATTATCTGGACCGAATCGACCTCGGAAACCCCCCCTGCAACAAGCTTGGGTCTCGCCGTCGACAGTGCTGTACACCTTCCTCTTCAGTTTGGAACTCCTCCATGACATGGGCGATGCCTTGACCTTCTGCTTGCTCGTGGGGAGCGTGTCAGCGGCCACGACAATCCAGGCTCCTTGCGTATGATCCGTCGGAAGGCCTTCGTCATCTTCCGAAGTGTGTTTCATTCCCTCGTCATCTTCCCAAGTGTGTTTCATTCCGACACCACCTGCATCGGAGATCGCAACTTTGGCGAGGTCGTTGAGGTCCATCTTCCCTAGGATGAGAGGTCGGGAAGCCGTGGCGGAGGTAATTGATGTTCTTGCTGATGATCAGGATGTCCTCGATCACGGCATTCTTCAATTTGCTTGCCATAATTGATGCCAGGTACACGGCCGACCACATGGTTTGGAACTCCTGCGTGATCGCCACATCTTTTACCTCGCGGCGATGCTTCGGGAGCGGCGATGTACGTCTCCTGGTCAAGCAAGACTCGATCCTCCAAGCGGGTTCTCCTTCCTGCATAGTCCGCGTTGAAGCCGCCGCTGCATGGGGCTTCAGCTTGTTTTGAACTTTTCCCCGCCCGCCGCTCCCTAAGGATATTCACTCAAGGCAGTGAAGTCTTCAGCTTTGCAGGCCATTTGCCCGGTCTTTTGGGTTATCCTGTTGGGTTGCTTTGCTCGGTGTTTTGTTATTTAAGTTGTTACACCTTGGTGTTTTGTTATTTAAGTTGTGACACCTTGGTCTTTTGGCAACTGCTTTGCTGCTGCTTTTGCTACTGCACAGCTACAGCTACAGCCGTTGCGAATCAATCATTGGAAGGCGGAAAGCCCGTGGTGCATTGCAGGCCACCAGACCCAGATACGGCCACTTTGCGAACTTTTGCCCCGACCGTCAGTTAGCGTCGGGCCCGCAGTTGGGAGCGTTTTTACGACAAGTGGTCTTTGGAAGCCACGCCGGAGCCGTGGACGTGACGATTGAGCGACGTCCCACACAAGTCACACAAGAAGACGAATGGATTAAGGACCAGAAGGAGAACGCCTGCTTCCACAGCACCAACACAGACCGAGAGTTTCCCCGCCCGGAGATCAAGAGACAGCCTCAGAGGAGCGGCTGTCTCTTATCCGGGAGGTCATCCAAACCGATCCGTGGAGGCGGAGGAAAGACGCAAAGGGTTCCGCGAATGCCAGTGGAAGGAAGTACTGCAGCAGCCTCCTCCTTTCGGCTGGACGGCGAGTACTCCGAGACAAGCAGATCGCGCACCCGAAAGACTTCCTAATGAGGATTTGTATTTATTCTCTTGCCATAACAGCAGGTGAACAATATATGACATGACGATGTGGACATCAGGAAACTTTCAATGGAGGAGGCCCTGTTCGACGCCAGTGACAAAGTGGAGTGGGAAGCCATCCTGAGGACCAAGGCGGTGCGAGTGGTGTTTGGCACGGAAGTGGAAAGCATCCGCAGATTGTACCCCGAGAGAAGCCGCGGTACCTGTGTCCACTCAGAATTGTTTCCATGCTTTTATTTCGCAGCTTGCCGTCCTCCTCCCATTTGCCAATGTCAAAGCGGTCCTGGTCAATTTTTTTGATCGATGCCTGAATCTCGGGGCGAGCCCCGATGATGAAGTCGTCAACCTCAATGAGCGCCTGTGACTCGTTGCGGCCTTTTGCATCAAACCGCATCCACCAACATGGCTCCACGAGGTTCCGGACAAAGCCATGGGAGCTCAGAAAGTTCACGACCGTCATGCGCCATGACGCTGGTGCATCGTCCGATCCATAGACTGGTACCTCTATAACTCTCAGCGCACCTTCTGTCCCAGCCCCTCTGTGGACTGCACAAACAGAGGCCCTGTCTCTCACCTTTAGGGCTCTGATTGGCAAAAGGCATCGCGAACATCACAGAAACTGTTTGAACCCCATTGGGAAGGCGAGCATTCCCTCCGGGGTCATGGAATGCATCCTGAACCAGCGATTTTTCGCCACTGCTAGGAAGCGAGGAGCTCGTCCAGATCATCGTGGTTCTTTGCAATTCCCTGCCCAGAGTCCAACTCCTGGGCGAGCCGTTGTTTCAACCATCCACCATGGCGTTCTGCTCGAAAGTTTTGCCACGGGCTTTCTGGAGCTGTGACGTGATGTAAAACTCCTAGCTGTTCCAGGCCACATTCAAAACGCCCCTGGAGTTCTTCCCCTCCGTCCGATATTGGCGTGCCTAGATGGCACGCACATGTAGTGAAAAAAGCCTGCCGTGCAGATTGCGCCGTGCGCCAGAGTTCCTTGTAACTCTCTGGGCCCCCAGTTGGTCCCGTGGCAGACGACATTCAGGGTGGGCTCAAAGACACCCTCGTGCTGGATGAAGAAAACGTCCATGCTCAAGACTTTGTTGAAGGAGAAGACTCTTGGACAGTGGGCCTTCCTCCTGGGATCTGGTCCTCGCTTCACGGCACACGTCGCCCATCTGGACTCATCCCTTACATTCTTCAAGGCATCAGGAAGGGCTCCGGCTGCCCGCAAGGTCCGACGAAACCTGTCCTGTCGCGGGTGACCAGTAGTGATGCGCAGCTTCCGAACCAAGTCTTTTTGATGTTGGGACTTTTGCGGCTCGGCCTGCTGCCTGTCCTCCATGGACGCCGGACGCTCATTGTCCGTGCCTCTGAGTTCACAATCTTCCTCATCCACATTTGTTCTGGGGAACGACAAGGGGGGAATGGCTGCAGCTGCTCTGACGACACAGAGCGGCCACCAGGCCTGCTGAATGCTGATGCACTGCCAGGACATTCTGGTCATATTCATCTACCTGAAAGCCGAACTTTTGGAGCAGTTCCTCAGGTCCTTCCGCTCGGACTCCAAGTTCAGGGCAGATGGCGTCTTGAACGCAGTGATCGACCATCTCTCTCCTTGCCAGTCTTCGACAGCATGTCACCGCCTTGCGTCGAAGACCACCATCTTGCCCTTATCCTTTCGCGGCGTTCCATGTCGCTTGCCTCCTCCCATTTCCTTCCAAACATTGCCGCCATCCGGTCCACCGAGTGATCTGGCCCCTGAAGAAGCGCCGTCAAGTTCTGCAGGCCTTGATCGTTCAAGCCGGCACCCTCCTTTAGCACGGTTGCTCGGATCTCTTCCGGAATAGCGATGCCGAACATCGAAGCCTTAGTGAAGTCACGCATGCGACGATTCACGTACTGGCGGAGGGATTCCTCTCGCTATATCGAACGTCGTGCTCGGGGCATCCGAGAGGTCGCCTTAACCTGGTAGTCGACACAATTCCCGCCGAGGCACTCGCGACGTCCGCAACAGATTGCTGTGTCTCATCCCATGCAGGTACGGATCGGCCATCCACCCATGACTGTGCACTCCAGCAGGGCATTATCATCTGAGGTGGTAGAGCCGTCCCACTAGGTTGCGGCCCACTGCTCCACTGCTGGTCCCACTCTTGCCAGTCATCCCATGCCTGCTGCAGTCCTGAGCTGCGCCTGGGGTTGTCCACGACAATCCGTCATCCCTCCATGTTTCATAGGGAACATGGCAAGGCCTCCGAGCTACAAACTGTCGAAAGAGTGGGAGAGCATGCGTACCCTGGGCGCACCGCCTTTTTCAGCTGCACGCTCGGACTTGAGACAAGTATTGCGGTTGTCTTTGGTTTGCCGCTGTGTACACGCAACATGGCTGGCACTCTGGCCAAATGTGTTAAGCATTACCTCTAGTAAGATTCTCACACTGGGCTGTCCCTTGCTCCGGTCACAAATACAGTCAAGCAACAGCTTCCAGCAAGCGCTCTGCACTCAAACTTTCGCTCTGGACCTTGGCCAGCAAGGCAAAAAATCCGGCTTAGAAGTTGCTGGATACGTGGCCTCGCCGAGGATGTCTAGCACATGTTGAGCATGCCGTCGCAGAACTGCTCTCGTTGTGTTCGCATAGACCTGCTTTCACTGTTCAACCTCCGTGCTATCGAGAAGACACAGCCCGAGAACCTGACAGGAGCCTGATGCAAATCTGGTGGAGAAACTCCTTGCGAACTTTTGAACACCTCATCTGCACATATGCACATTTCCACACGTGCACATATTCATCTGTTCTCTCTGAGCTGCTGCGTATCACTTGAAGTGTTCGTGGTTATACAGTGACGAGATCCTGTCGACGATCCTATGCAGGTGACCTTGGACAGCACAAAGAGCTCGTTTATATCCTCGTGTGTCGGCACCTCTCCGACAAGCTTCACCTCAGGCACTGAAGCTCACTTGTTATTGAAGCCAAGCTTCGTAAGCGACTGAGATGACAACTCCCAAGTCGAAAACTGCCAGAAACAACTCCTCAAAAATTAGATCCAAAACGATTCGTGTACCGGAATGCCAAAGAGTGAAAGACAAACTCGTCCTGCAAGTGGCCACATAGATTCTTGAAGGGAGCCCAATCCGTCTCGTTTGCATAGACCTGCACACTTGCAAAATCTGCAGCCACCCACATGCAACCGCCCGTCGGCTTTGCCCTCTCGGCCTCCACCGGTGTCGAGGAGTCAATGTTGTCACAAATGACACGATTGCAGTCAGCGTCCTCAAAGGATGCAACGACCAAGAAAGCCTAGACGACCAAAGGTGCGTCCTCGAGCAAATGCTGTCGCAATCGCCCCAAGCACGCCAAGCCTCGAGAGCTGTCGCGCCGCTGTCGCTCGAATCGATGCGGCCGAGGCAAGGATCGCACTGAGGGCCCTTCTCTGGAAACTCAGCCCCTTCCCAGGTAATGCACCTTGACATGTCTGATCTCATTCAAACCACGCATTCTAGTTTCAACACTTGCGAGCTTGGCATTCGTCGATGTGAAGCGGGTATCTGGACTCGAAAGCGCCGTCTGGGTATCTGAAGGTGCACATGCATACTTGACTGGCAGATCAGCAGGACGACCGTGCCTGAGAACCGCAGAGCACGGCAGGACCAAAGCAGCCACAGCCGCCAGATACCAGAGATGCCTTCGAGGAGCTGCAACTAGGGATGCCATCGCGCCCAGCAACCATGGCTCCGTGGATCGCAGCAATACATTTATGACTAGATCACCGATCATAAATCAGTTTGGCAGCACACACATGCAACAGAGGATTGTCCAGCGCAGCAGCCTATTGAACGTGCTGCATGTTGAAGAACAAGGTTTCCAGAAGCAAACTGTGGGATGCTGGCGCCTGTCACCTCCTTCAGTACCGTCTGCCTAGAACATAGCTTAGGTTCGGTGATGTGCGTTTGAGTTGTACTCATACCGACATCTGAGCCGCTCAAGGATGCGAAATTTTGTCTGTCTGGACCCAATGTGTACATGTATGTACATGCTTGGGGAGGCGCCTCCTTGCACCATGACATCGTCGATGGCGAAGATTCACGAAATCGCCACGCACGCCATGGCCAGCATGCCAAGCTGGCTCTGGTGATGCTCTCAAAGTAGATGCAGTTCCCAGACTGCTATTGACTGCTACGCCCTGGGTAAACTCCGGTCAGACTGCTTGTTGCTGCAGCAGTGCCACAGCTCAGCAGAACGATGCATAATTACTCCGTCGTATGGGCTAAATGCAGCTTGAATCAAGTGACGCCGATCAATATTTTCTGTGGTTTTCTGTAAAGACGGATCCTCAGCAGAAACTGACTTGACTAGCAGTCAGATTAGATTTTCCCGCAAGGCACACACGAGCGAGAAGATCATCAGTGAGAAGAAGCAGCATCAGCACAATGCTCCAATGCCTTTGCAAGGATGCATCACGCCTATTCATGCCTCCGCCTCTAGTGCTCTGAGAACCTCGCAAGAAACTTTGAAGACGGACTGGCGGCTTCTTCTGCTTCATTTTGCTGTCCTGCAGAACGTCACAAGCTGTGCTGAGGATATAGTGCACGCTAATGCTCGCTTGCTTCATTTGCAAACAAACAGTACATCAAGCTGGCAAAAATGTGCTATTTTGGCTGCTGAGAATGGGTCTTTTCCGCAACTTTGAAGCCCGGAGCAGGAAGGCAGAGGCAGCACAAGTTTCATCGAAGACGAAGACGACAGAGCTTCTTCAAGCAACCGTGACAACCGGGTTGCCAGATGCTAAGGTGTGTGGCTCTCTTACTTGGACCTTATGAAATGGATTGCTGCCGGTCCTGCTCTCACAACGCATGCTGTTTGTTCGACCCATGCAAGCGTGCAAGAACTTTGGCTTCTTCCCAGCTGCTGTAACTGCGCACAATGACATGGAACACAAAGTCCTGAATCAGCGATTCTGCGATAGTAGCAAGATGGCCGTGACACTCCATCCGGCCCCTTTGTGTGGCAGGCGCCCGTTGTCCTTTGCAGCAACATGCGCTCGCAAATATTTAGGGCCCGCGGGGCACATCCGCGCCTCGGCCGGACAAGATACAGCAACGAGTTCTGTTCGCAGTTTACGCGCACCTCCACCAGGTCAAGGACCTCACAGGACCATGCCGAGAATGTTTTCTCATGTCTCAACATGGCTGCAGGAAGCCAACCTGCACTTTTGGGACAACCCAATCGAATTCACACGGCCTGAGCAAACTTTTACGAAAATTCACACAACATGGGTAGGAGTCTTCGAAAAAACTCTGAAACGGAAGCACTACAGCCCTCAACCGAAGCGAAACTCCAAACATAGCGCACCTACGCCCTTCCGTTCGAATTCATCGGACCATGCAGCATGCGCAATTCATGGCAATCTTGGCCACGTGCATCACCAGACGTGCTGCCTTTTATCCAGAGTTGATTTCGAGATGTGCTCCTGAGCGAATCACATCAACACATGCAAAGTAGAGGGTCGTCTCAGCGAAAGCGGTCCAGAGAACGCAGACTCTGCGATGTAGAGTTTCCATAAGCGCCTCGGTACTGGGGTTCGTTTGCTGGACTTCATGCGGTTGGGTAGTGCAAATAGACCGATAGACCTTTACACTTCAGAAAGGAATGGAGTAGCAGCAAGCTGGCCTGTTCGTTGGCGAAAGCCACGATGAGCACCTGTCATACTTCGGCAGTTGAACTGACGAACGATGCCATCACCCTGCCTCTTTGGAGTCAGCGCTCTGCACCGCCACCTGGTGGAGTTGACGAGCTGCTGAACTTTGGAAGGAGACCGTGCAGTAGGCGCCGAGCAGGGATCACAGGCGACTCGCACAAGGACACCTTGCATCGCATGTGACATGCTGAAGTCTGCAACAAGCGAGCCAGATCGATTCGACCAAGAGCCTTCTTGAGCTTTTCCCAGTCAAGGTTGAGTATCTTGCCCTGTCACACCCTCCCTTGCATATCACAACCATGCAGCACACTACCCAAAAGATCCAAGCTAAGTTTCGGAGCCTCTTCCAGTTCCTCGTGGCTTGCCATCGGCGCAAACTTAGCTTGACGTGCTGGTGTCTTTACTCCCGGCCCTTCTTCACAATGTCTTGAGATCCTGAATGTATAGACAAAATGATATCAGACCCATCTTCGAAACCTCGTTGATGCCTGACAGCCAAGACTGAGACTTTCTGCTCAAATCGATGTCGGATTTGGCATGGCAGTGGAACTGCTCCATGATGCAAAACATCGCTGTCGAAGTCACTCAACGTCTGCACTGTGTGCAGCAGCTTGTGCTGTTCCGATGTCACTTTTTACGTGCTTAACTCCACCCTCTTTCACTGGATTTGCAGCACATGTTATGCCACTGACAAGTTACGATGTCCTCTTTGAGGATTTTGATCTAGAGCTCCTGGCATGTGCCCATGAATACACAAAGCCGCCAGCGGTGCTGCCTGCCAGGCCTATCCATCCTAGAGCCGTTAGATGCGCCCCGAACAGCAGCATTCCGACGACAGTGGACAAGATCCCTTTTGAGGTGCCCGCCACTGCTGTGGCAAGAGGGGAGTTTTCCGCAGTGCACCAGAAAGTTGAGAAATTCAGCACGGCACCCAAGAATACATATGGCAGCATGAACAGCAGAAGATTAGACACTTCCCCTGGGCCTTGCAGAAATGATGCAACGCCTGGTAACTCAACAGCCGTCAGCGGCACGAACAGGATAGAATTGTAGAACGAAGTATAGAACACTAAGTCCATCGAAGATAGTTCGGCTCTGTCTTGAGCATTGCGTGCCAGCACGAGGTACAGAGACTGGCAGCCAGCTGCCAGCAATGCAAGCATGTAGCCGGCCAGGTCAAAGTCCAAATCGCCGATACCAGTTACAATAGTACCAGCAGAAATCAAGGCCACTCCCAAACATTCCCACGCATCCGGACAGGTCCCACGGATGTACCAGTCCTGAACCATGGCATACACTGGCTGCAATCGCTTCAGGATATTGTAAACAGGTAAGCTGGTGCGTCGCATGGCGATGAAACTCAAGTACATGTTGAGTGCCTTGGCAACTGTAGCCAAAGGAAGATGTTGCAATACTCTCCAACTCCAGGGTTGGTATCCACCTGTCAGGGAATCATGTAGCACATTGCAGAATGCTCAAGGACATCATGCAAACATCACATATTACACAACTGGTTTGAGAAACTCTGACCTTGGTACGCATACAACGCTGCAACAGTAGCCCAACACTCAATCAGCAATAACAAACTGGACCCTGGGAACTGCCAAGCAGAAGCAGCATACTTCGTCAAAGACGTCATAGCCAACGAGCTTAACACGTACAATGCCACAGAAATAGACTTTGTCCTTTCTCGTGGCAGCATCGATGTCACGGTGCCACCATAGACACGGACACCATCCTGAGGCTTGCCCTTTGCGGACAGGCCTTTTACAGACCTTTCCAGCAAAACCGTCTCTGGGCTGTCCGCTACAGTCATACTGTTGATGATGATTTGGCGCCAAAACTTCGGACGTCGGGCAATGAAGCATCAAGCCTTCCATCTTAGAATCAATTCCCGTGACGACGACACGATACACCGCGAACACCAGGTCATCAAACCATCCTTTCTTCCATCGTCAGTATCCCGGTAAACCAACCCATAACTGGCATACGGTCTGCCGACATCAACAAGACCGCCAGATCAAGCACGGAGCGAAAATTACTTTTTTGTATTGAACAACATGCTCCAAATATTCATAAACACATTGCTCTTTGTTTTTCCGTATGCATGTCCGATTCTGAACAACTGGACTTGTTTTGGTGCCGACACAGGGTTTGTAGGCACAATGCAGCTGCAGTGTCCGATCGAAATGGGGCAAGTTTGAGCGTTCTGGCAGGCTCGCACTGCTCTGGCATTTCGAAACATTCATTTTACTGCGTGGCTCCGCAGCTCTCAACTAGATTTTGTGAAAAGGCGGTGGTCGTTGCCAATGAAGAAGTGTTGGCGAGGAAGACGAGACGAAGAAACCCTTCATTTCATCGTTGCATTCGTGTCTGAATCAACACACGCCTTGCTATTGAATTCAAAAGGTGAACATGGTACGGCTCAATGTGAGCAGCGCAGTTCCTGCTGTGCAAAAAACCAACAGACTTCAGCCGCTCAGCAGTTGGTCCCAAACAATCCCTCAACCATGTGCAGCAGAACCCAAACTCACCGAATGCGTTACTGATCACCCCGGTGGTGCAACCAAGCGCCAGTGCCAGGTTCTGCGGTGCCCTTGCGAAGCATTTTCTTTATATGCTAAAAGAAGAAATTGCAGAGGTGGCACCAGGTCTTCTTTTTAGCACCGGTTGAGGTCTGATGCAAGAGATGATGTGAGTAGGGCAAATGCAAATGTTGCAAATCGCTGTTGCAATGACGGCTGCACGGCAGAAATTCTGCGAACAGAACGAAGTGGGGTGTGGCTGCACAAGCAGGGACAGGTCCTCCAATGGGGGCATGCTCCATCATAGTTCGGCGAAGGGGGGCTTGAGAAGGGGGG